ATCAGCAAACACAATGGCCTTGAATGACACACTGGACCAGATGGACTTAACAGATATATTCAGTACATTTCATCCCAAAGCAGCAGAATACAGTCTTTTTGCCTTCATATCGACATTCTCCAGCGGGTTACAAATCAGGCCTCAACAAGAATAAAAAAGATTGAGATTATACCATGCATATTTTCTGTCCACAATGCCATGAAACTTGAAGTGAACCACAAGAAAAAATGGGGAACGGCAACAAATACATGGAGGTTAAAAGAACATCCTTCTATAGAATGGATTGGTTAACCAGGAAATTAAAAAGGATATTAAAAAATACATGGAAACAAATGAAAATGGAAACAACAATACAAAATATATGGGATGCAACAAAAGTGGTACAAAGAGGGAATTACATAGCTCAATAGGCAGGACTAACTCAAGAAGAAAAATCTCAAATATAAAACCTAAACTTATACCTAAAGAAGATAGAAAAACAATAAATGAAGCTTAAAACCAACAAAAAGAGGAAAATAAAGATTACAGCAAAAATAAATGATACAGAAACAAACAAACAAACAAAAACACAGTACAGGTGCCTGGGTGGCTCAGTTAAGCGACTGCCTTCAGCTCAGGTGATGATCCCAGAGTCCTGGGATTGAGTCTTGCATTGGGCTCCCTGCTCAGTGGGTAATCTGCTTCTCCTTCTCCCTCGCCCTTCCCCCTGTTTGTTCTCTCTCTCTATCTCTCACTCTCTCATAAATAAATAAATAAATAAATAAATAAATAAATAAAGAGAAAAACACAGTAGAAGAAATCAATGAAACCTGTAGCTGGTTCTTTCAAAGAATTAATAAAATTGATAAACCCCTGGCCAGACTTATCAAAAAGAAAAGAGAAAGGACCCAAATAAATAAAATTACAGATGAGAGATGAAAGATCACAACCAAAACCGCAGAAATAACAAGAGAATAAATATAAGAGAATATTATGAAAACTGAAATGCCAACAAACAGGGCAATCTGGAAGAAATGGACAAATTCTTAGAAACATACAAACTACCAAAGGTGAAACAGGAACAAATAGAAAAATCGAACAGACGAATAACCAGAAAAGAAATTGAATCAGTAATCACAAATCTCTCAACAAACAAAAGTCCAGGGACAGATGGCTTCCCAGTGGAATTCTGCTAAACATTTAAGGAAGAGTTAGCACTTATTCTTCTCAAACTATTCCAAAAAATAAAAATGGAAGGAAAACTTCCAAACTCACTCTGAGGACAGCATTGTCTTGATTCTAAAACCAGACAAAGACCCCACTAAAAAAGAGAACTATAGGCCAATATCCATGATGAACGTGGATGCAAATATTCTCAATAAAATACTAGCAAATCAAATCCAACAGTAGATTAAAAGAATCATTCACCACAATCAAGTGGGATTTATTCTTGGACTGAAAGTGTGGTTCAATATTCACAAATCAATCAACGTAATACACCACATTAATAAAAGGAAAGATAAGAACCATATGATCCTCTCAATAGATGCAGAGAGAGCATATGACAAAATACAGTATCTATTATTGATAAAAACCCTCAACAAATAGGGCTAGATCTATAAAGACCATATATCAAAGACCCACAGCTAATATAATCCTCAATGGGGAAAAACAGAGCTTTTCCTCTAGGGACAGCAACAAAACAGGGATGTCCACTCTCAACCATTATTTAACATAATACTGGACATTGAGCCTGAACAAGCAGACTACAAAAAGAAATAAAAATCATCCAAATTTGCAAAGAAGCCAAACTTTCACTACTGCAGATGACATGATACTCTATGTAAAAAACATGAAAGACTACACCAGAAAAATTGCTAGAACTGATACACAAATTCAGTAAAGTCGCAGGATAAAAAACCAATGTACAAAAATTTGTTGCATTTCTATACACCAGTAATGAAGTAGCAAAAAGGGGTTGTACCAAAAACCATAAGATACCTAGGAGTAAACCTAACCAAAGAGGTAAAGGATCTGTACTCTGAAAACAAGAGAACACTTACGAAAGAAATTGAAGATGACACAAAGCAATGGAAAAACATTCTATGCCCATGGATTGGAAAAATAAACAAATAATCTAAAAATGTATCTACTACCCGAAGCACTCTATACATTAAATGCAATCCTTATCAAAATACCACCAGTATTTCTCACAGAGCTATACAAACAATCCTAAGATTTGTTTGGAAACACAAAAGATCCTGAATAGCCAAAGTAATCTTGAAGAAGAGAAGCAAAGCTGGAGTTATCACCATTCTGGACTTCAATCTCTATTACAAAGCTGTAGTGACCAAGATAATATGTTACTGGCACAAAAACAGACACATACATCAATGGAACATAATAGAAAACCCAGCAATGGACTCACATCTATATGGGAAACTAACTTTTGACAAAGCAGGAAAGAATATCCAATGGAAAAAAGACAGTCTCTTCAACAAATGGTGTTGGAAAAACTGGACAGCAACATGCGAAGGAATGTATCTGGACCATTTTTTACACCATACACAAACATAAATTCAAAATGGATGAAAGACCTAAATGTGAGACAAAGAAACCATCAAAATCCTACATGTTACTACACAGGCAGAAACTTCTTTGATATTGTTTTGGCAACTTTGTTCTAGATATGTCTCCTTAGGCAAGGGAAACAAAAGCAAAAATGAATTATTGGGACTTCATCCAGATACAAATCTTCTGCATAGTGAAGGAAAGAATCACAAAACTAAAAGGCAACCTTAGGAATGGGAGAAGATACTTACAAATGACACATATGATAAAGGATTAATATCCAAAATCTATAAAGAACTTAATGATACTCAACACCCAGAGAACAAATAATCCAGTTAAGGAATGGGCAGAAGATATGAATGGACACTTTTCCAAAGAAGACATCTATGTGGCTAACAGACACATGAAGAGATGCTCAACATTACTTACGATCAGGAAATAGAAATGAAAACTATAATGAGATATCACCTCAAATCTGTCAGAATGGCTAAAATTAACAACATAGGAAACAATAAGTGTTGGTGAGGATGTGGAGAAAGGGAAACCCTCTTAGACTATTGATGGGCATGCAGACTGCTGCAGCCACTGTGGAAAACAGTATGGAGGTTTCTCAAAAAGTTCAAAATAGAAATACCCTATGATCCAGTAATTGCACTACTAGATATTAACCAAGGGATAAATATATATATATATATATATGTATATATATATATATATATATATATATATATGTATATATATATATATATATATATAAAGTAAGTTGAACGGACACATGCATCCTGATATTTGTAGCAGTATTATCAACAATAACCAAATTATGGGAACAGCCCAAATGTCCACTGACTGATGAATGGATAATGAAGTTGTTGTATATACATACAATTGAGTATTACTCAGCTGTAAAAAAGAATGAAATCTTGCCATTTGAAATCATATGGATGGAGCTAGAATGTATTAGGCTAAGTGAAATAAGTCAGTCAGAGAAAGACAAATACCATTTGATTTTACTCATATGTGGAATTTAAGAAACAAAACAGATGACAATAGGGGGAAAAAGTGAGAGGCAAACCATAAAACTGACTCTCATATATATAGAACAAACTGAGTGTTGCTGCAGGGTAGGTGGGTGGGGGTATGGGCAAAATGGCTGATGGGTATTATGGAGAACACTTCTTATGACGAACATTGGGTTTTTGTATGTAAGTGATGATCAGTAAATTCTACTGCTGAAACTAATATACACTATATGTTAAATACCTGGAATTTGAAGAAAATGAAGGGATGAAAAAACATTTACCATGCCAAATGAAGCAAATAGAAAAAAGCCCATGTAGTTATATCTATATCAGATCATATAGACCCTAAAGATTTTATGTATGTATGTATGTATGTATGTATGTATGTATGTATGTATTTAGGTATGTATGTATTTAGGTATGTATGTATGTGAGGGAGAGAGAGAGACAGAGTGCAAGGGAGGAGCAGAGGGAGAATGAGAGAGAGCAGTAAAGAATTCCAAGCAGACTCCACTCTGAGCATGGAGCCTAATGCAGGTCTCAATCTCACGATCCTGAGATCATGACCTGAGCCAAAATCGAGTGGGATACTTAACCAGCTGAACCACCCAGGCACCTCCAGGTAATATAGACTTTAAACAGAGAGTGTAGCAAGACAGAAAGAAGTCCATTCCATAATTACAGAAGGACCAATCCATGAAGAGATGATAACTATTATAAATATCTGTGCACCCAACAATGGAGTACCTAAATATATGAAATGAATATTAACATACATATAGAGAGAAATTGATGTTAGTACAATAGTAGCAGTGGGCTTTAATACTCCACTTACATCAATGAGTAGATCATCCAGGCATAAAATAATTACGAAAACAGTGACTTTGAATGACACATTAGACTAGATGGACATAACAAATATATACAGAACATGCCTTCAAAAAACATACATTTTTAAGTGCACATGGAACATTCTCCAGAATACATAATAAATTGTGGAAGAAACCAAGAAACAGACTCTTAACTGTGCAGAACAAACTGATGGTTACCAGAGGGGAGCTTGGTGGAGAGATGGGTTAAATAAGTGATGGGGATTAAGGAATGCACTTGTGATGAGCACCAAGTGTATGTAAGTGTTGAATCATAAATTTTACACCTGATACTAATATTAAACTATATGTTAACTAACTGGAATTTAAATTTACAAAATAAATAAAACAAGTCAATAAATTTAAGAAATTTGAAATCATACCATGCATCTTTTTAAAATACAATTCTGTGAAACTACAAATCAATCACAAGAGAAAAACTAGAAGTAACACAAACATGTAGAGGCTAAACTGCAAATACTAAGCAAAAAATGGGTCAACAAAGCAATTACAGAAGAATCCAAAAATACTTGGAGATAAATGAAAATAAAAACATAATGGTTCAAAATTTGGGGGATACAGCAAAAGCAGTTCTAAGATGGAACTATATATCAATGCAGACCTACCTCAGGAAACAAGAAAAAACTCAAATAAGTAATCAGATATTACACGAAAGACCTAGAAAAAAAAACAAAACAAAATCCAAGGTGAGTAGAAGGAGAAAAATAATAAGAGACAGAGCAGAAATAAATGGCATACAGACTTTTAAAAAAAGAAAAAAAACCAATAAAACCCCAAACAGTTTTTTTTTTAAAGATAAACAAAATTGACAAATTCTTACCCAGACTCATTAAGGAAAAAATAAAGATAAAAAAACAAATAAATAAATTAAATTAATGATAGATGAGAAGTAACAACCAACACCACAGAAAAACAAGGATTTTTAAAAGAATATAAAAAAATAATTTATGCCGGGGCGCCTGGGTGGCTCAGATGGTTAAGTGTCTGCCTTCGGCTCAGGTCATGATCCCAGGGTCCTGGATCAAGTCCCGCATCGGGCTCCCTGCTAGGTGGGGAGCCTGCTTCTCCCTCTGCCTCTGCCTCTCTCTCTCTCTCTCTGACTCTCATGAATAAATAAATAAAACATTTAAAAAATAATTTATGCCAACAAATTGAAGCATTGATAGAAGAAATGGACAGAAGAAAGGGATAAGATCCTATAAACATATAATCTTCCAAAACTGAATCAGGGAGACATAGAAATCTAAACAGACCAATTATTAGCCAAGAAATTCAATAGTCAAAACACTACCAGACAATTTAAGTCCAGGACCAGTGGCTTCATGGGAGAATTCTACAAAACATTTAAAGGAAAGTTAATATCTATTCTCCTCAAGATATTTCAAAAACGGAGAGGAAGAAAAGCTTCCAAATGCAATCTATGAAGGCAGCATTACCTTGATACCAAAACCAAAGACATCAAAAAAAGAGAAAACTATATAGGCCAATATCCCTGATGAACACACATGCAAAAATCATCAGGAAAATATTAGCAAACCACATTCACCAATACATTAATAAATCATTCACCTTGATCAAGTGGGATTTATTCTGGGAATGTAAGGATGGTTCAACATTCCAAAATCAATCAATGTGATACACCACATCAACAAAAATGAAGGATAAAAATCATAGAATTATTTCAATAGTTACAGAGAATGTATTTTACAAAATTCATAATAAAAACTCTCAACAAAGTGGGTTTAGAGGGAACATAACTCAACATAAAAAAGACCACCTATGAAAAACCCATAGTTAACATCATACTAAAAGATGAAGAAATTAAAACTCTTCCTCTGAATCAGGAACAAAACAAGGATGTCCACTCTCAACAGTTATTCAGCTTAGTACTGGAATTGCTAGTTATAACAATCAGACAAGTAAAAGGTATAAGTAGTACCCATATTTGTGAGTAAGAAGTTAAATTGTCACTATTTTCAGATGACATTTATAAATATTTATCAGAATCTCTTTCTCTGTCAAATAAATAAATAAATAAATAAATAACATTGGCAGGGGACATGTATAGACATTATTTCAAAAAAAACCATGTAAATGGCTAACAAATACATAAGATGCTCAACATCACTCATCATCAGGGAAATGCAAATCAAAATCATGATGAAATATCACCTTATACCAGACATAATGGCTGGAATCAAAACACAAGAAATAACAAGTGCTGGAGAGGATTTGGAGAGAAGGGGCCCTCATGCACTCTTGGTGGGAATGTAAACTTGTACAGCCACTGTGGAAAACAGTATGCAGTTTCCTCAAAAAAAATTAAAATAGAAATGCCACATGACCCAATAATTCCACTACTGGGTTTTTACACTCAGAAAATAAAAACACGAACTAATTCAAAAAGATATGTGCACCTCTTTGTTTATTGCAGTATTATTTATAATAGCCAAATATGGAAGTAACCTATGTGTCCATCAATAGATGAATAGATAAGGAAGATGTGGTATGTACATACAAGAGAATGTTATGCAACCATAAAAATATGAGATCTTAGCTTTTGTAACAACATGAATGGACCTAGAAAGTATAATGTTAAGCAAAATTACTCAGCTTAAGAAAGACACATAACATGATTTTGCTCATGTGCAAAATCTAAAAAAACAAAAACAAACAAATGAAAAAACAAACAGCAGAATCAAACATAAATATAGAGAACAAACTGATGTTTGCCAGAGGGAAAGATGGGGGGTATGGGTAAAGAAGGTAGAAGATACAGTGTTCCAGTTATGAAATAAGTAAGTGATAAAAATAAAAACATAGCAGAGTGAGAGTCTTCCAGGGAAGATGGTGGAGTAAAAGGACCCCAAAGTCACCTTGTCCCACAGATACAACTATATAACACTCATATTTGTGTGAATAACCTACAAAATGACCCAACGACTGGCAGAACAAACTCCACAACTAAATGTAGAGAAGAGGCCACATTGAAGAGAGTAGGAAGGTCAGAGACACAGTCAGACACGAAATGGTCCTACAGAGGTGTCCACAGAAGGGAGGGAGGCCATGGGTTTGGAAAGGAGGGAAAAAGAATTCCTCACACCAGGGAGCCCATGAGGGGAAGACAGATCACCCTAACATTTGACTTTGGAAATAGGTTGAATTTCATGAGTTTTTACAACAAGTATGTTTTAAAAACTGGAATTTTAAAAATCAGTAGACTCCACTCTGGGAGAACTGAGAAAGTGAGAGGAAACTGAATCTCCTCCTTTAAAGAGCACAACAATAGCCCATGGAGATACAGCATAGACATAGTAGTTTGAAAAACTCCTGGAGCATATGGGAAGGAGAGTAGTTTACTCATCTCAGAACCTGTCCTGGAGGCTAAGACATCATTGGGAGACTTCTCCAGGAAAAAAGGAGCTGGCAGGTACCATTTCCCTCCCCTGCCCCCCAGCATAAACACACAGCCACCTATGGAACCAGACAGGCACCAACGCTCACTGCTTAACTTTCTAATGCCATTGCTGTGCACCACTCCTCATGCTTTGGCACACCTACCTCCTCTAGCCAGGTCTGCCTCAGTCCCAGAGCTGAAGTGACCCTCTTCCCTCCCACAGAGTATGGTAGGCATGCAAAACTTGCTAACACCACCATACCAGTGCACTGCCCCCCTTGCATGTTGTAAATCTGCTCCCTCTAATTCACTCTTGGACTGAGCCCATTCAAACCAGGGTCACAAGCCTAGTAGTGAAGAAGTAGCCCCAAGAGGGGCAAACACCACTCCAAAGTGATTCCTGCCCCAGGGAAAGGGTAACATAATGACACACACAATTCAGAATGCTGCCACAGCAGTGGACTGAGGATGGACAACTGGTCTGACTACATGCCCCACCCACCAACAAAAGCTACTCAGGGAACAACACAGAGAGAGTACCCTGCAGTTTGGTGCTAATGCATCTGTGGAAAATACCTGGCCTTGTTCAACTTAAGCCCAAAATGACTCTAGATTGGACTGAAAAAATAAAGTGGTTCAGCCACAAGAGCAGGATGCATGTAGCATACATAGGAGATACCCCTGGAGAGCCATGTTTTGGTAAAGAGAGGATACTGCACTACAGGGCATTACAGAATCTATTCTTCATAAGGTCATTACTTTCAAGAGCAAGAGACGTACCTGACTTTCTCAACACACAGAAATAGACACAGAGAGTTAGAGAAAATAAGGAGATAAAAGAATATGCCCCAAATGGAAGAACAGGACAAAATCACAGCAAGAAACCTAAATGAAACAGAGATAATTAACATGCCTGACAGAGAATTTAATGTAATTATCAAAAAAAGATACTTACTGGAATTGAGAAAAGAGTGGAGGAAGGACATCAGTGAGACCTTTAACAAAAAGATAAAAAATAACCAATTAGAAATTTAGAACAAAATTAATGAAATTAAAAATACACTAGATGGAATAATTGTAGACTAGAGGAAGCAGAAAAAAACAAAAACAAAAACAAATCAATGACCTAGAGGACACAATAAAGGAAAGTAATGAAGCTGAGCAAGTGAGAGAAATATATATATATGTGTGTGTGTGTGCAAAATGAGAATAGACATAGGTAACACAGTAACAACATCAAGCATAATACTATTTACATTATGGGGATTACAGAAGAAGAGAGAAAAAGGGTGAGAAAACTTATTTGAAGAAATAATATGTGAAAACTTCCTGAATATGAGAAAAGAAACAGATGTCCATATTTGGAGGCAGAGAGACCCCCCCCACACTGAAATCCATCCAAAGAGGTCCGCACTAAGACACATAATAATTAAAATGGCCAAAAGTAGTAATAGAGAGAATTTCAAAAACCACAAGAGAATAGAAAGCAATCATATACAAAGTAAACCCCATTAGGTTATCAGAGGATTTTTTCAGCAGAAGCTTTGCAGGGCAGAAGAGAGTGGCATGATATATTCAAAGTGCTGAAAAGAAAAGATCTACAGTAAAAAATATTCTATACAGCAAGGCTATCATGCATAATAAAATGATAGAAAAACAGTTTTCCAGACAAAAATTAAAAAAAAAAAAACTAAAGGAATTAATGATCACTATAATAGCCCTACAACAAATGTTAAAAGGGACTCTTTAAGTGCACAGGAAAGACATTAAGAAAGAATAAGGAGAGTAGGAAGGAGAAAAACAGTAAAAATAAGTATATCTGTTAAAAACCAGTCAAAGAAATCACAAAATAATAATGTAAAGTATGCCATATACCCAAAACATGGGCGGAAAAGAGTAAAGAATAGGTTCAAACATAAATGGCCATCAACTTAATATAGACTGCTCTATGCAGAAAATGTTATATACAAACACAATGGTAATCACAAATCAAAAACCAACAATGTATATGCAAAGAATAAAGGAAAGAAATCCAAGTATGTCACTAAAAATAGCCAAATAATACTAAGAGAAGGGACCAAAAAAGAAAGGAACAGAGAAGAACTTCAAAGACAACCATAAAAGAATTAACAAAATGGCAATAAATATATCCAAACCAATAATTACTTTGATTGTAAGTGGACTAAACGTTCCAATAAAAAGACATAGGAAGAGAGAATGGATAAGAAAGCATGACCCATCTATGTGCTGTCTATAAGAGACTCATTTCAGACCTAAAGACACCTGTAGATTGAAAGTGAGAGGATGGAGAAAATTTTATCATGCAAATGGGTGTGAAAAGAAAACCAAGGTAGCAATACAATAAGGATAAAATAGACTTTACAACCAAGACTGTAAAAAGAGGCAAACAAGGACACTACATAATAATAAAGGGGACAATTCAACAAGAAGATAGAAAAATTGCAAATATTTATGTACCCAACATGGAAGAACCTAACTACATGACAGCAGTTAATAACAAACATAAAGGAAATAATTAATAATAATACAATAATAGTATGGGACTGTGACACCCCACTTACATCAATGGACAGAACATCCAAACAGAAAATTAACTTGGAAAAATTGGCTTGAATGACACATTGGATCAGATGGATTGAACAGATATATTCAGAATATTCCATCCTAAAACAGCAGAATACACATTCTTTTCAACTTCATATGGAACATTCTCCAGAATAGATCACATATTAGGCCACAAAACAAGCCTCAGCAAATTCACAAATAACTAAGTGATACCTTGCATCTTTTCTGACCATCATGCTATGAAACTATAAACCAATGATAATAAAAATCTGGAAAGATCACAAATACATAGAGGTTAAATAATGTGCTGCTAAATAAAAAATGGGTCAACCAAAAAACCAAAGAGGAAATCAAAAAACACATGAAGACAAATGAAAAACAAAACAAAACAAAACACACACACACACACACACACACACAATGGTCAAAAACCTGTGGGATGCAGGAAAAGTTGTTCTAAGAGGGAAGTTTATAACAATTCAGGCCTACTTCAAGAACCAAGAAAAATCTCAAATATCCTAATCTTATACTTAAAAGACCTAGAAAAAGAATAACAAACAAAACCCCAAACCAGAAGGAAGGGAATAATAAAGACTAGAGAAGAAATAAATGAAATAGAAACTAAAAAATACAGTAGACCAGATCAATGAAACAAGGAGACAGTTCTTTGCAAAGGTCATCAAAATTGATAAACCTTTAGCCAGATTTACCCTAACACACAAACATACACAAAGTGAGAGAGAGAGAGGACTCAAAGAAAATCAGAAATTAAAGAGGAGAAATAACAACCAGCATCACATAAATACAAGCAATTGTAAGATAATGTTATGAAAAATTATATGTCATCAAATTAGACAACCTAAGAGAAATGGATAAATTCCTGGAAACATATAACCTCCCAAAACTGAATCAAAAAGGAATAGAGGGCGCCTGGGTGGCTCAGTCGTTAAGCATCTGCCTTTGGCTCAGGTCATGATCCCAGGGTCCTGGGATCGAGCCCCACATCAGGCTCCCTGCTCTGCGGGAAGCCTGCTTCTCCCTCTCCCACTCTCCCTGCTTGTGTTCCCTCTCTCGCTGTGTCTCTCTCTGTCAAATAAATAAATAAAATCTTTAAAAAAAAGGAATAGAAAATTTGAACAGACAGATTACCAGCAATGAAATTGAATCAGTAATAAGCAAACTCCCAACACACAAATGTCCAGAACCAGACTGCTTCACAGGAGAATTATATCAAACATTTATAGAAAATTTAATACCAGTTTTTCTCAAGCTATTCCAAAAAAGAGAAAAAGTAGGAAAGTTTACTAATTTATTCTATAAGGCTGGCATAAGCCTGATATAAAATCCAAATAAAGACATTACAAAAAAAAAAGAGAACTACAGGCCAATATCTCTGATAAACATACATGTAAAATTCCTCAACAAAATGTTAACAAACCAAATCCAACAATAAATTTAAAAAATCATTCACCATGATCATGTAGGATATTTTCCCAGAATGCATGCATGGTTCAATATTCACAAATCAAACAATGTGATACATCATATCACTCAGAGAAAGGATAAAAACCATATGATCACTACAATAGATGCAGAAAATGCAGTTGACAAAGAACAACATCCACTCAGCAAAGAAACCCTCAACAAAGTAGGCTTAGAGGGAACATACTTCAAAACAATAAAGGCCATATATGAAAAACACACTGTTAACATCATACTCAATGGGGAAAAAAATGAGAGCTTTTCCTGTCAGGGACAAGACAGGCATGGCCCCTCTCACCACTTTCATTCAACATAGTACTGGAAGACCTAGCCACAGCAGTCAGAAAAGAAAAATGAATAAAGTTTATCCAAATTGGTAAGGAACAAGTAAAACTTTTCCTTTTTTGCAGGTGAGTTGATATTCTATACAGAAAGCGCTAAAGACTACACTAAAAAATGCCAGAATTGATAAATGAATTCAGTAAAGTCACAGGATACAAAGTTAATGTGCAGAATTTTTTTGCATTTTTTAAAAGATTTGATTTATTTATTTGGCAGAGAGAGAGATAGCAAAAGCAGGAACACAAGCAGGGAGAGTGGGAGAGGGAGAAGAAGGCTTCCCGCTGAGCAGGGAGCCCAATGCAGGGCTCGATCCCAGGACCCTAGAATCATGACCTGAACTGAAGGCAGACGCTTAATGACTGAGCCACCAAGGTGCCCAAGAAATATTTTTCATTTTTCACGCCAGTAATGAAGTAGCAGAAAGAGAAAATAAGAACGCAATCCCATTTACAACTGCACCAAAAAGAATAAGATACCTAGGAATAAACCTAACCAAAAAGATGAAAGAACTGTACTCTGAAAACTATAAAACACTGATGAAAGAAATTGAAGATGACACAAAGAAATGGAAAGACATGCCATGCTCATGGATTGGAAGAACAAATATTATTAAAATGTCTATACTACACAAAGCAATCTACACCTTTAAGACAGTCCTTATCAAAATACCAACAGCATTTTTCAAAGAACTGGAATAAACTGTCCTAAAATTAGTATGGAACCCCCAAAAGACCTCCAATAGATGAAACAACCTTTAAAAAGAAAAGCAAACCTGGAGGCATCAGAATTCACAATTCTAGACTTCAAGTTATATTACAAAGCTGTAATAATCAAAACAGTATGATACTAGCACAAAAGTAGACATATATATCAGTGGAACAGAATAGAAAGCCCAGAAATAAACCCACAATTATATGGTCAGTTAATCTTTGACAAAGCAGGAAAGAATGTCCAGTGGAAAAAAAGACAGTCTTTTCAACAAATGGTATTGGGAAAACTGGACAGCAACATGCAAAAGAATGAAACTGGACCACTTTCTTACACCATGCACAAAAATGAATTAAAAATGGATTAAAGACTTGAATGTGAGAGCACAGGCAGTAACTTCTGTGACAACAGCCTTAGCAACTCTTTTTAGCTAGGTCTCCTGAAGCAAGGGAAACAAAAGCAAAAAATAAACTATTGGGACTACATCAAAATATAAAGCTTCTGACCAGAAAAGGAAACAATCAACAAAACTAAAAGGCAACCTACTGAGTGGGAGAAGATATTTTCAAATGACATATCCAATGAAGGGTTTATATCTGAAAGATATAATGAACTTATACAGCCCAACACCAAAAAAGAAAATAATCCAATAACAAAATGGGCAGAAGGCATGAAGAGACATTTCTCAAAAGAAGAGTTCCAGATGGCCAACAGACACATGTAAAGATGCTCAAAATTATTCATCATCAGGGAAATGCAAATCAAAACCACAATGAGATATTACCTCACATCTGTAAGAATGGCTAAAATAAAAAACACAAAGAATAACCTTTGTTGACGAGGATGTGGAGAAAAAGGAACGCTCTTGCACTGTTGG